AAAGGTAGGTCAACTCCCACGTCTTTTTACCTAGAACTGTACTAGACAAAATTTGTATCTGAGTGTTTTCACATATTACATAGTCTCTCTGAGCTGCTCTGGCTCAGTGTGTTGTATGGAGATGTCCATTTTTAATGTGACTACTGCAGGGGCGTATAACAACGATTGGGTGCCAAAAAAGAAAGAGGAACCCGGGGGGAAAGATATATCCAATTTGAATATAAATTGGCGTGTATTTTTTGAAAAAAAAAGAAAGAAGAGGTATTTTATTTCTGGTTTTCAATGGTAATTCTATTGTAACTATGTGCTGATGCTCTCTTATATGGATCATCATTGTTTATATCTGTCCAATCCTCTAACGTACTTATAACATTTCTTTTGCAAGGATAGGTACTACTTATAGGTTTACTCACACTTTCTAAATCTGCTGTCAACCACTGATCTTTTTAACGTAAAAAAAAACATATTAAGCAACAGCAACAACTTCTCTAAACTTTACATGATGTCTCTTATGCTTATACAGAAGCAATAGAACTTTCAAGTGTTTTCACTTGAAAGTTAATTATGTTAAAATAAAGCTCATTAAATAATTAATTATACCATGTAACTAATACCTTAACAAACTGATAACTCTCTCCATCATCCTGATACTACTGACACTTCTACATTTTTTTTTTGTGCATTACTGCGGAGGAAGTCTCTTCTCCCTGCAGCTCCATTCACTGTTTTTCTGAACCAGCCTTTCACCGCACTTTCAAAAAGTGACCTCACTATGAAATAATGTGATAGCTTTTACATCTACCGGCTGCCATCCAGACTGCTCTGATCATTTCCAGCCTACCACCTTCAGGAATCAGCCACAAGTGATTTATGGTTCACACTTCGCTTCCCTCCACATACTGTGTGCCGCTTTGCCTGGACATTTCCACCAGACTAGATATTATTTCCAGTGATCATTTGTGTTCATTTCAATATTTCTGGTCACATCATCCCTGCTCTCCATCTCCAAATGTAACATTTAGTCTCTGAAGAGGAAATCCACACAGAAAGTGTTTTTATTCATATAAATATCTGTGATGTAAGCATGTGTTTCCCTGGCATGAACTAAGGACTAGTGGCCTAATTTATTTCATTCCACTGTTTTAATGACCTGAGGCAGATTTTAGTAAAGACTTTTAGTTAACTTTTGTTTTTGTAAAACATTAAATCTCTATTTAAGATGGAAATAGACCTGGATAAATACGTCTTAATGCATTTTTGTGTTCTTCTGGAATGGTTGATGATGTAAAAATTAAAGTACTGTATAAAGATGAGCAAAATAAGGTTATTTGCATAATCTTCATAGCACCTTCACCACAAGCAATCTAATAACCAGAAGGAATTAGATCTTTGGAAATGCTATTTTATGGGTAAACTCAAACTGCATTGTTTGAAATCTCATATTTTTTATTTTGAGGGATAGAGTGGAAGACAGTTTGATTACAGAGGAATAGAAAACATCTGTTTTCCGTTGATACTTGTCGTCAGGTGGATGTTGACACTGTGTACTTCACAGGGCCTATGAGATTTGACAAATATCAACATGGAAAAAAAATATCA